TTCTTGTTTTTTCAATGCCCAGATTCTATCAGGAAGGCAGACATGTAAAAAACAATATACCATTAACAGCAATATAAATATCTGAGCTACCCTGTATAGTATCTGTGTAAAACAGCAAATACAACCCACGGGAAAGAGAGAGATTTCCACTATTTATTCCAATACCATTGCTTTCTAGAAAACTATTATGGAATTTTTGTTGTAATTTATTTCCAGATTCTGGAACATCATCACTCTAAAATGCAACTTAGATTTAATAATTGTTTTCAAGGGTAAGGAGAAGGAAAGATACTAAATACTCAGAATTTTAAAATACATGGGTAAATTAGTAGTGGGAATTGCAGGGGACTATAACAGAGATGCGAAAGCATATATGGTACAAAATGAAGAATAATGTAAAAAATCCAGTAAATAATAAAGAAAATAAATAATATACTCCAACTGAAGAAATGCTAACATGTGAAATATTATCCCTCTTAAGATGAAGTAAAAACCTCCTCCTGGAGATTCTATCTCAGCAAAATTTATCCATCAGAATTTGCTCTACAGGGCTGGCCATGGTGATCGCACACTAAGCCCAAAAGAAGCAAGATAAAGAGAAGAGAAGTATGGGCCCTCCCTGATGGCACAAGGGCTTAAATCTCAGCACTATGAAGCAGCCATGACTGCACAAGTTGGATCCCCGGCCAGGGAGGTGACCCACATGGCCCAGCAGACCTGTATCCCCTCAGCAGTGTGTTTCAGTCAGTCCGCCTGTTCTGCACTGACTCTGTCTCTGGCGAATCCTCTCCCCGACTCCCCACCTCTGGCACATCCCCCAGTTCTTGTATACATAAATAAATAAACCTTTTAAAAGAGAGAGAGAGAGAAAGAGGAAAGAAGTGTGTTTCTCCACGTTGCTGAGGCAGGACGCCTTGAGGGTAGACCAGGCAAGACGCCTTGAGGGGAGAGACATACCATGTCGGTAAATATGGTTTCAGGTCCCATCTCTGCCATGTACTCCCTGTAGGACCTGAGTCTTTGGTTTCCTCATCAGTAAATGAGGAAATATTTTTAATCATGCAACAAATATTTGCTATAAGCCTAAAATTCTCCAGGCTCCGTTCTGGACACTACTGACAATGCAACAGGACAGACAAGAGTCCCTTGTCCCCTTGGAACTTATATTCTAGCAACAGGCATGGAGGCGATGGAGTGACAGAGATGTAAATAAACAAAATAAGCAAAATCATTTCGGAGAGTGGCGGAAGAGAATGAGACAGGCAGAGAAACATCGCAGGCAGAAATCTAGGAGGAGGCAGCTGAGAGCTCAAAAAGCTAGAGACCCTAACGAGTTAGCACTGGGGAGGCCGCAAGACACGAAATCAGCATGGCGAGGGGGCCAGCCCACGTCACCTCTGTGGACCCTGCCCGGGAGTCCTCTCGTGTTTTAATCGAATGGCAGTCACTTCAGACGGTGCTGATGTGATTAGATTTCTGTTTTAAAGTCTCACTCTGGTTATAGTCATTCATGTAAGAGATGCTGGGGCAGGTTAATCATGCACCTACCATGAGTGGATAGATAGCTGGGGGTGCGTGACCCCTCATTGTGCCCCAGATGGCCACCATTAATCACAACCTCTGTGAAATGCTGTGCACACCACCTCCGCTCCATTCCTTCTATTGTGTGAAATTATCAACTCTAGGGTCTGTCTCACCATAAGCGGGAGCTTCTTGACAGCAGAAACTGTGCTATCTCCATCATGGTATTCTCAGGGGTTAGGACAGCGCCTGACTGATACCAGCACTAGTCTGTATTTGCTGAGAATGAAGCTGAGGGCACGAATGAATTTTTCCTGGAAGGAACTGGAACCTTCTACACCTCTACCTACCTGAGCGTTAATAGGTGCAGATTTGGTGCCGAAAAGTAGATGACTGAATTAAAAAGATGTGGTACCTATACATAATGGAATATTGCTCAGCAACCAAAGAAAATAAATGCATGCCCTTTGCAGCAAC